GGAGAAAAGCTTTACTCACATTAAAACTAAAGCAAGATATTGATTTTACTCAAAATATATATTTCTCCTTACATAAACATAAGAGCAGCTTTCATTCATTCACAATATATGCACATTCTCACTTGCATAGTATGTAATTGCTGCAACTTTTGTAGTTAAAGCATGTTTCATTGAACCTTCTTTTAAAAATATACATTTTTTTTACACTCTCATACAGGGTACCAGCAAAACCATTTTGTATTCTTGAAGTAGGTTATTTTGACAGATGTTTAAAGAAAATAAGAATAGAAGAGTACTGCCCATTCAAGATACGCTCAGTAAGATATTTAACATGTCTTCAGATTATATACGTATAGTAAACAAAACTCCTTCAATGAAACATGTTTCCAGAGGCCATTAGGTGTCAAGCAGTACAGATACGAGATACAGCAGAAGTCTTTTATTCGGATGACCTATCGCTGTGTTGAGCTTTAACAAGTTACAACTCTGATAAAGTTCTATATTAAGCAAAAATTATCAGGAAAAATACTTGTTCTGCAATCTCCATCTCTCTCTCTACCATATCTGCACTATTTTCCACCAAACCATAAAATCGAAGTACGTACTTATAATTTTATCATCACTCGAACACCTTAAACTTTAAAACTGGAAAAAAATTATTCCAGGTAATGTAGAAATTATAGGTAGTAGGTTGGTAGACAGCAACCGCCCAGGGAGGTACTACCGTCCTGCCAAGTGAGTGTAAAACGAAAGCCTGTAATTGTTTTACATGATGGTAGGATTGCTGGTGTCCTTTTTTCTGTCTCATGAACATGCAAGATTTCAGGTACGTCTTGCTACTTCTACTTACACTTAGGTCACACTACACATACATGTACAAGCACATATATACACACCCCTCTGGGTTTTCTTCTATTTTCTTTCTAGTTCTTATTCTTGTTTATTTCCTCTTATCTCCATGGGGAAGTGGAACAGAATTCTTCCTCCGTAAGCCATGCGTGTTGTAAGAGGCAACTAAAATGCCGGGAGCAAGGGGCTAGTAACCTCTTCTCCTGTATATATTACTAAATGTAAAAGGAGAAACTTTCGTTTTTCCTTTTGGGCCACCCCGCCTCGGTGGGATACGGCCGGTGTGTTGAAAGAAAGAAAGAATGTAGAAATGGAGACACTACACAGGGGGTATACTATTTTAAGTAGAATTTAACCATAAGAACAGTAACCATTATATAGATCTATTCCAGATTTGCCATTTCCACTTATTTTTTTTTATTTATTATCACACCGGCCGATTCCCACCAAGGCAGGGTGGCCCGAAAAAAGAAAAACTTTCACCATCATTCACTCCATCACTGTCTTGCCAGAAGGGTGCTTTACACTACAGTTTTTAAACTGCAACATTAACACCCCTCCTTCAGAGTGCAGGCACTGTACTTCCCATCTCCAGGACTCAAGTCCGGCCTGCCGGTTTCCCTGAATCCCTTCATAAATGTTACTTTGCTCACACTCCAACAGCACGTCAAGTATTAAAAACCATTTGTCTCCATTCACTCCTATCAAACACGCTCACGCATGCCTGCTGGAAGTCCAAGCCCCTCGCACACAAAACCTCCTTTACCCCCTCCCTCCAACCCTTCCTAGGCCGACCCCTACCCCGCCTTCCTTCCACTACAGACTGATACACTCTTGAAGTCATTCTGTTTCGCTCCATTCTCTCTACATGTCCGAACCACCTCAACAACCCTTCCTCAGCCCTCTGGACAACAGTTTTGGTAATCCCGCCCCTCCTCCTAACTTCCCAAACTACGAATTCTCTGCATTATATTCACACCACACATTGCCCTCAGACATGACATCTCCACTGCCTCCAGCCTTCTCCTCGCTGCAACATTCATCACCCACGCTTCACACCCATATAAGAGCGTTGGTAAAACTATACTCTCATACATTCCCCTCTTTGCCTCCAAGGACAAAGTTCTTTGTCTCCACAGACTCCTAAGTGCACCACTCACTCTTTTTCCCTCATCAATTCTATGATTCACCTCATCTTTCATAGACCCATCCGCTGACACGTCCACTCCCAAATATCTGAATACATTCACCTCCTCCATACTCTCTCCCTCCAATCTGATATTCAATCTTTCATCACCTAAATCTTTTTGTTATCCTCATAACCTTACTCTTTCCTGTATTCACCTTTAATTTTCTTCTTTTGCACACCCTACCAAATTCATCCACCAATCTCTGCAACTTCTCTTCAGAATCTCCCAAGAGCACAGTGTCATCAGCAAAGAGCAGCTGTGACAACTCCCACTTTGTGTGTGATTCTTTGTCTTTTAACTCCACGCCTCTTGCCAAGACCCTCGCATTTACTTCTCTTACAACCCCATCTATAAAATATTAAACAACCACGGTGACATCACACATCCTTGTCTAAGGCCTACCTTTACTGGGAAAAAATTTCCTTCTTTCCTACATACTCTAACTTGAGCCTCACTATCCTCGATAAAAACTCTCACTGCTTTCAGTAACCTACCTCCTACACCATACACTTGCAACATCTGCCACATTGCCCCCTATCCACCCTGTCATATGCCTTTTCCAAATCCATAAATGCCACAAAGACCTCTTTAGCCTTATCTAAATACTGTTCACTTATATGTTTCACTGTAAACACCTGGTCCACACACCCCCTACCTTTCCTAAAGCCTCCTTGTTCATCTGCTATCCTATTCTCCGTCTTACTCTTAATTCTTTCAATTTAACTCTACCATACCACTTTTCCAGGTACACTCAACAGACTTATCCCCCTATAATTTTTGCACTCTCTTTTATCCCCTTTGCCTTTATACAAAGGAACTATGCATGCTCTCTGCCCAAACCCTAGGTACCTTACCCTCTTCCATACATTTATTAAATAATTGCACCAACCACTCCAAAACTATATCCCCACCTGCTTTTAACATTTCTATCTTTATCCCATCAATCCCCGGGTGCCTTACCCCCCTTTCATTTTGCCTACTGCCTCACGAACTTCCCCCACACTCACAACTGCTCTTCCTCACTCCTACAAGATGTTATTCCTCCTTGCCCTATACACGAAATCACAGCTTCCCTATCTTCATCAACATTTAACAATTCCTCAAAATATTCCTTCCATCTTTCCCAATACCTCTAACTCTCCATTTAATAACTCTCCTCTCCTATTTTTAACTGACAAATCCATTTGTTCTCTAGGCTTTCTTAACTTGTTAATCTCACTCCAAAACTTTTTCTTATTTTCAACAAAATTTGTTGATAACATCTCACCCACTCTCTCATTTGCTCTCTTTTTTCATTGCTTCACCACTCTCTTAACTTCTCTCTTTTTTCCCATATACTCTTCCCTCCTTGCATCACTTCTACTTTGTAAAAACTTCTCATATGCTAACTTTTTCTCCCTTACTACTCTCTTTACATCATCATTCCACCAATCGCTCCTCTTCCCTCCTGCACCCACTTTCCTGTAACCACAAACTTCTGCTGAACACTCTAACACTACATTTTTAAACCTACCCCATACCTCTTCGACCCCATTGCCTATGCTCTCATTAGCCCATCTATCCTCCAATAGCTGTTTATATCTTACCCTAACTGCCTCCTCTTTTAGTTTATAAACCTTCACCTCTCTCTTCCTGATGCTTCTATTTCTCCCTTTTATCCCATCTACCTTTTACTCTCAGTGTAGCTACAACTAGAAAGTGATCTGATATATCTGTGGCCCCTCTATAAACATGTACATCCTGAAGTCTACTCAACATCTTTTATCTACCAATACATAATCCCAAAAAAACTACTGTCATTTCGCCCTACATCATATCGTGTATACTTATTTATCCTCTTTTTCTTAAATATGTATTACCTATAACTAAACCCCTTTCTATACAAAGTTCAATCAAGGGCTCCCATTATCATTTACACCTGGCACCCCAAACTTACCTACCACACCCTCTCTAAAAGTTTCTCCTACTTTAGCATTCAAGTCCCCTACCACAATTACTCTCTCACTTGGTTCAAAGGCTCCTATACATTCACTTAACATCTCCCAAAATCTCTCTCTCTCCTCTGCATTCCTCTCTTTCTCCAGGTGCATACACGCTTATTATGACCCACTTCTCGCATCCAACCTTGACTTTAATCCACATAATTCTTGAATTTACACATTCATATTCTCTTTTCTCCTTCCATAACTGATCATTTAACATTACTGCTACCCCTTCCTTTGCTCTAACTCTCTCAGATACTCCAGATTTAATCCCATTTATTTCCCCCCCCTGAAACTCTCCTACCCCCTTCAGCTTTGTTTCGCTTAGGGCCAGGACATCCAACTTCTTTTCATTCATAACATCAGCAATCATCTGTTTCTTGTCATCCGCACTACATCCACGCACATTTAAGCAACCCAGTTTTTATAAAGTTTTTCTTCTTCTCTTTTTTAGTAATTGTATACAGGAGAAGGGGTTACTAGCCCATTGCTCCGGCATTTTAGTCGCCTCATACGACACGCATGGCTTACGGAGGAAAGATTCTTTTCCACTTCCCCATGGACAATAGAAGAAATAAAAAGAACAAGAGCTATTTAGAAAAAGGAGAAAAACCTAGATGTATGTATATATATATATGCATGTGCGTGTCTGTGAAGTGTGACCAAAGTGTAAGTAGGAGTAGCAAGATATCCCTGTTATCTTAGCGTGTTTATGAGACAGAAAAAGAAACCAGCAATCCTACCATCATGCAAAACAGTTACAGGTTTTTGTTTCACAGTCATCTGGCAGGACGGTAGTACTTCCCTGGGTGGTTGCTGTCTACCAACCTACTACCTTATTTGTCCTCAATAATTTGTGTTTTTTCAAACCCATATTCCTGGCCACTTATATTATTCTTAATAATGACAATCTGCCATTTTATCTTTGATTCTTAAGAAATTCCTAGAAAAAACAGTGTTTGTGTAAAAATAAACTTCAACAGATAAAAAAATTATAACACTCCTGTATATTAAAACCACAAAAATCACACAAAGCTGCCTTTGTAACTATATTATTTACAAGAAAGATCCCAAAACACTACATGAAAAACTACATTAAACTGCCATTAGCATTCATACAGTGGATGATATGCATACTGTTTATTTACTCTGGTTAAGGCAAGTGGATGAGCAATGTGGATGGATGTTAAATGGCTAGACAGACCTTGGCAGGGGCAAGAGCAAGGGCTTCCCTGTTCTCAACAGGTTGTATCCGCACCCATTATTTTCGAGTTAAACCATCAGCATATACCTTGACTCAATGCTGCTCAATTAATTGTTAGGTAAATGGATACGTGCAACTAATGTGACATTTTACTGTGGCCACATTAAAATGCCACATTAGTTGTATGTGTCCATTTACCTAACATTCTGTAGGTAACTGTACCATCATTATCAATGATTACTGCACATGATAACATATGCATTTTGTTATAATGAATGTTATTTATCTGTTTTTTGTTTGTACACAAATATTAGCTCACTGAAACCAGTTAGCCAGAAACTAATTCATAACCATACAGCTCAATTTTAGAAGGTAGACCTTCAAACACATTACTTGTTATAAATTAGTCACTATTTGGTTTCTAGTTATTACTTTGTGGCAGATTCCTCTTTTTTTCAACACATCGGCCATCTCCCACCGAGGCAGGGTGACCTAAAAAAGAAAGACACTTTCACCATTACTCGACACTTTCACAGATTTCTTTTTTGTACAAAAAATGTTTGTAGTCATAAATCCTGTTGACAAAAAAGAACTACCCAAATTACTGGTACATAAATTATATACACTATCAGGTGTCAGTTTTTCTGTCTCATGAACATGCAAGATTTCAGGTACATCTTGCTACTCTACTTACACTTAGGTCACACTACACATACATGTACAAGCGTATATATATACATACCCCTCTGGGTTTTCTTCTATTTTCTTTCTAGTTCTTGTTTATTTCCTCTTATCTCCATGGGGAAGTGGAACAGAATTCTTCCTCCATTAGCCATGCGTGTTGTAAGAGGCGACTAAAATGCCAGGAGCAAGGGGCTAATAACCTCTTCTCCTGTATATATTACTAAATGTAAAAGGAGAAACCTTCGTTTTTCCTTTTGGGCCACCCCGCCTCAGTGGGATACGGCCGGTGTGTTGAAAGAAAGATCAGGTGTCAGAATATAATTTCATTTTCTATGATAATGTGTTAGATAAGCCACAAAGAAATATTTTCCTAAAAGCACAATAATGATTTAAATATACAATACTTTTACAGTAAAATATAATGTTTTAAAGTAGAGTACATGTATTTGTGTGTGTGTGGAAAACTACTTTTCACAGGGTTCAATGAACTGTTTAGGAAATAGTAACTTTCTGAATTTGACTGGTACTATATTTCATCCTACCTTATTCAAGCTTAGTTTGATCCCTTCTTATTTCATTTCCTATCGAGAATATTACTTAAATCAGTCTTGGGTCTGACCTGGTACTCCAGGCATTTGTAACATCAGGAATATACTGATAACAGCTCACATGAGGTAGCTCTGGTTTCTATGGGTGGGCAGACCCTAAATGCATTTTGCCATACCACAGTTAACTCTTCACATATCAAAGGTGAGGTGCCTGCAGAAATCTTGACGAACTGGTGTACGATGAAATACCTTTTACAGATCTATATGCAAGAGGTTGAACTTGGTTAGACTAACAATAAAATGAGCTAAACAGGTGTATGAAAAAAGGTCTAACTTTTCATACAGTTTTGCACAGATTGATGTAGGAAAGGGTCAAACTGGTTGGACTAAATATGTGATAAAAATGCCTCGTATAGATTATGTGGAAAAGATCCAGCCTGGTTAGACTATGTACAGGTGAACTCTATTTATGGTTTTCCCCTCTAAGTTCTGAAGAGTCACTGACCACTGATGCTGCAAGTCCATGATTAAATAGCTCTTCTCATATTTATTTATAGGTACTATATGACTTACTGTCATAAAATTAAGCTATAAGTGTATTATTGGTGTTATAGGTTATAGTGACATTTTGCTCTTCCTTGTAAGCAGTTCACAGAATCCAAACAGAGGTTACTTTACTGAGCTGGGCTGGGGATATCAAGACATACCAGAGAAAACTTTACCTCTCATTAAAGAATAAGGCAGAAAAGAAAAACTAAGCAGGACATTAGCAGAAAGGTCCAAATACTGGTGAAATTGAAGAACAGTATCTCATACCTGGTTTATCAGAGCCCAAACAAACAAGATTAGTTAAAAAATTATTTTGTGTCAAAAGAACAATGTACTGTACTCACTATCAACATTTATATCAATTTCTCATGAGAAACATCAGTGCAAGTGCAGCTGTAGCAATAGTAAAATAACTACTCTTGATAGTAGAGGATCCATTACAGCCATCAGAGGTACAGTAGCACTCCTCCCAATACACACCAATAGGGTCTACACCCCAATTGCACATGTTGGTCACACCAGTTTCAGTCACTGATGAACACCGACGAATTACAGTACGCCAACGACCATCCCCTGTAAAAATTATGAAGAAATCATGTCACAACACCTCTTTCATAAAATCCTGAGAATATGGGCTTTGTAAAAATGTCATTACATATTTATACACACTTATGTACCACATCTTTGCCCGTAATTTTTTTAACATAGCCATCTCCCATCAAGAAAGGAAATGCTTTCACCATCATTCATTCAATAGATATCAAACCATAAGTGCACAAATGCCAGTATTCAAATAACCCTCCAAATCTGTAATTTTTTTTTTTATAAATAGAGATTTTTTTATTACGATTTTTTTAAAATAATCACTGCTTTGGGATTCTCATTGTTTATAAACAAACAACATTAGAGAAGAGTATGCACATAATGTAGCAGGTTCAGACAATGTACAGAAAAATTAAACTACTCCTGTTAAACACTAAATTATTGTAACCCCTGGACTTGTGCAGGTGGCAAGTACCGTGCCTGCACTCTGAAGGAGGGGTGAACATATGTTGCAGTTTCTGAATATAGTATTGGCATGACTCTGACAAGACAGTGATGGAGCGAGTGATGATGAAACTGTTTCTTCTCTTTTTGGGCACCCTGCCTTGGTGGGAAATGGCCGACGTGTTAAAAAAAAATAATGCATATGCAAGATAAATACAGTATCATATATTACACATGAGATAAATACAGCCTCTCCTCATTAAACAACAGAGTTCCGTTCCGAAGACTATGTTGGTGAATGAATTCATCGCTAAGTGAGGAGCACACTATAACAGTACAGTGGACCCCTGGTTAACGATATTTTTTCATTCCAGAAGTATGTTCAGGTGCCAGTACTGACCGAATTTGTTCTCATAAGGAATATTGTGAAGTAGATTAGTCCATTTCAGACCCCCAAACATACACGTACAAACGCACTTACATAAATACACTTACATAATTGGTCGCATTGGGAGGTGATCGTTAAGCGGGGGTCCACTGTAGTGGGTTTGTGTCAACCATCTCTCATATTGTTTTAATGTCACTTTTGCACCATTTATAACATTTCTGGTATATTTTTAAATGTTTATAAAGTAGTGTACTGTAATAAACAGAATAGAGAAAATCAGCTCTAATATACACTACATATTTAGGTATGCAGACTGGTCAGAGAGCCCGTCCTAAGTCCGAGTCGTTGGTAAACGAGTACGTCACTAAGCGAGGAGAGGCTGCATTTCATAATTTGCATGTGAGATAAATACAGTACGTATATCATAATTTGCGCATTCGAGATAAATTTGTCGTAATTTGCACACACAAGATGCTGAAGAACTTGCTCCAGATTTCCAAACTAAAATTGTTTATTTTTATTGCTAGTGAGTATGAGAAGCACAGACAAAAATAACCACACTGAAAAGCTGGAATGCAGCAAGTACATTAAGAGAATGCCATAGAGAATAGGTTAAAAACTTTCAACACTCCCTGCAAATATAAGAGAAACTACCACGAGGCCATGTCTTCAAGATGGAACTTGTATGAGTCTGAAAAAAATTAATGATAAGCTGGGACGACTTGACTGACCTGGCTGTCAACAGATAATGCTCGTCTGAGCTTGGGTGACAGGGATGACCCACAGAATTATACAGTGAAATAACATACATGACCTACATAAATTTAAGTCATACTGATTCAACCCCTACCCTTTCTTACAGGCCTGTGTGAGTATTCCATCTTTGGCTGATTCTTTTTCATTCACAGTTCATCCCATTAAATAGCCAGCTATATTTTCACATGCAATAATATATTAAACTTACTCTAATACATCAGTTTCCTAATACAGTGGACCCACACCTTACGATATTAATCCGTTCCTGAAAGCTCATCGTAAGCCGAAATTATCGTTAGCCGAATTAATTTTCTTCATAAGAAATAATGGAAATCAAATTAATCCGTTCCTGACACCCCAAAGTATGAAAAAAAAAATTTTTTACCACATGAAATATTAATTTTAATACACACAGACTGAGGAAGACAGGCACAATTACTACTCTACTAAGAATAGAATACATGACACTTACCTTTATTGAAGATCTGGTGATGACTGATGGGATGGGAGGAGGGGTGTGTGTCTGGAAGGTATGGTTTAGAAGGGGAATCCCCTTCCATTAGGACTTGAGGTAGCAAATCCTCTTCTGGGGTTACTTCCCTTCTTTTAATGCCACTAGGACCAGCTTGAGGTCACTGGACCTCTGTCGCACAACAAATCTGCCCATAGAGCTCTGTACCTCTCGTTCCTTTAAGACTTTCCTAAAATGGGCCATAACACTGTCATTGTACAGGTTGCCAACACGGCTTGCAGTAGCTGTGTCAGGGTGATTTTCATCCGTAAAGGTTTGCAGTTCAACCCACTTTGCACACATTTCCTTAATCTCTTTTTTCAATTCCATACTAATTCTCGCCCTTTTTACCACAGGGATGGCACTAGAAGCTTTCTTGGGGTCCATGGTGACTTTTTTGCAGTTACAAGCACTAAAAACACTGGGATAATGTGAAATGTACCGAATGCATGCGTAGATGCGACTGCACTGGCTGGCTTGTAAACACTGGCACTGAGGCCACATGTGGGACGCATCCCGGACGAATCACGTAAGGCGAGTATTTTATTGTGAGGCGAGGCAAAATTTTTGCGTTCAAATGCTTCGTATGGCAGATTTAATGTAACGTGATGCATTCGTAAGGTGGGGGTCCACTGTACATTCATACTATCCATGACAGTCTAATCACTGTGTCTGTGCATCATACAATATATCAACAAGATTTTTTGGGCACTTATAATCCTAACTACACTATATTATACGGAAGATATGATTAGCAATGAAAAATTCAGTTAAAATCCTGAAAAAAAATCTAGAAGCCTGCAAAATGAAGGTATTTAATTACAGTGGAACCTCGGTATATGACCAGCTCCCTACTCGAACAAAGCTCAGCACTCGACCAAACAAATACGACCTGCCAGAACATCTCTGTAGACTATTTCGTATTTCTTTGCTTTTTTTGGTGTTTTTTTGTATTATCTGTATAAATAAGTCACCATGGGGCCTACGACGATTAGTGACAACAGCCAATCAAACAGAAAATTGGTTGGGAAGAGCTTGTTCGATACTCAAACGGAGTGGCACTCGAACAGCCTTCTGGAATACATTAAGGTCACATACCGAGGTTCCACTGTATATAGAATATAATATGCCAAGCTGCTAAAAAGCTTTACCATGAAAGAAATTATAAACATTCAAAGGAATAAGGATCTATAAGCACACTAAAAATAATGCTATGATAATCTTAAACATAACCCACATCAACACAGAAAATTCAGCTTACAGATGAACATGCGAGGAGACTGCTTGGTAATCTTCACACAAAATGTTCCTGGAGTTACAGATTCCTCTTGGAAGCAGTCAACAGGAATGTGTGAAGCCACATCAAATTTTTCATAGGCGCCACAGAGATCTTTACCATCTGGATCCTCATCAGTAGAGCACTGATAGCATTTTATTCCATGACCTAGAAACAAAGCAACTGAAATTATCCTGAAAGAATACATACAGGAAAGCCCACTTACATATCACATTAGGTTCCAGGCTGTTGTTGTGAAGCAAAAAACTGTAAAGTGAATCATAGCCTTTTTTTTGCTTTCAAATGGATAAAAGACTGATATATTTACACTATCATATAGTAAGTGAGCAATATTGCTAGGCCTAAAAAAAAATGCATATACAGTACACACGGATACTTACCTTAAAATATTATCATCCTTACTTTATAATAAGTGAACATATTTATTGAAGGAAGTCTGAATAAATGAAGAATGGTAAACAAAACTGAAAACTACTGCATAAGTGAAACAATGCAAAGCAAAGTGCTGTAGAGCAGGGTCTGCCTGCATGCTTGCCTCTGATGCCTTTGGCATCTGATGCCTTTGTGTCTGTGGTTCAATCCCTGGCAAGGGTGGAAACACTGGGGGTGTTTCCTTACACCTGTTGTCCCGTTCACCTAGCAAGCAAGTAGGTTCCTGGGTGTTAGTCAACTAGTGTGCATCGCATCCTGGAGGACAAGATTAACCCTTAAACTGTCCAAACATAGATCTACGCTCACGTGCATAGTGCTCCGAATGTAGATCTACGTTGTTGTTTACATTTGAAAGCGTGTAAAATAAACTGTAGATCTACATTCGGAGTGCTACTCACATGAATGTAGATCTACGTTTGGACAATTTAAGGGTTAAGGACCCCAATGGAAATAAAACAAACAGTCCCTTGATGACACACTGCCTTTCTTGGGTTATCCTGGGTTATCCTGGGTAGCTAACCTTCCAGGGTCAAAACTCCGAATAAAAGCTTATCTTCCTCTACAACTTTCTTCTAAGTAGGCAGCCATGTCAGCAACAGTATCCAGGCTTCTAGCTTGTTCTTTTCCATTTCCATGCAATTCGCAGGGAATGGGAAACCCTCAATTTAAAGGTTTAACTAACAGGGGAAAATGGGTGGTCTTAAACAGTGATTGTAGTGGGCAGATAAGAATTGTTTTACTATGATTGTAACAATATTTAACAATTCTGTAAATAACGGACTTTGTCCATGATTTCCAAATTAAATGATCCAGTGGATTTTCTCCAATTTTGAAGTTTGTCCAACTGAGGTTGGTTAAATGAAGACCCTGATGTAAGTGAAACTTCATAAAATTAAGGATCTCTATGCTTAAAAGTGTCTTTGAATAATCACTTTCTGGCTTATATTACTGGTTACCCAAACTTTTGTACCTTTCGACATCCTTTCTGGGATGCTAACTGTTTTTTCATTTGCATTGTTTGCTCCCTTACTACAATACACAAAACTGGTTGGACAAATATACGAATGAGTGGGACCTTCCTAACATGGGCAAATGGGCTTGCCCAGAAGGATTAATAATCCTGAGTAACCCAAGAAAGCCACTGTGTGTGTGGCTTATTTCCAACAGTATTTTGGTCAGGTACCGCAGGATGCAACCCACAAGTCAACTAACATCCATGTAGCTATCTATTATGTGAAAATTGGTAGGTGTAAGGTGACTTGCATATGTTTCAAACCTGGGCTTGTGGCTCAAGTGTTGGCATCCTCGGCTTACAACTGAAAAACCTGGGATCAATTTCCCACATTGTTTCCTTACACCTGTCGCCCCTGCTTATCTACCATTAAGTATGTACCCGGGAGCAAAGTCAACTGGTGAGAGTTGCAACGTGGAGAAGAAACAAAACAACCTAAACAGCTTTATGGGTTATCCTGGGTTACTAACCATCAAGGCTAATCCAAATAAAATTTTAATTCCCCCCCATGCAAAAAAAAGTTCAATCTGAGTTCTTTGGATGTGAAGATTTAACGCTTCTCTTTGATTATAATAATAATAAACCGCACATAAGAGAGAGAAGCTTACGACGACGTTTCGGTCCGACTTGGACCGAAACGTCGTCGTAAGCTTCTCTCTTTTATGTGCGGGTTATTTGTGTATCGTTCCAGTCATGGTATTTTGCCTTTTTTTGTTATGATAATAATAATTTGGATACGAGATGAATACACTACCAATACGGCGATCGAGAAATGAAGTTACGCATACAAGTCGTCCAATATTTTATCTGGATTAACCCAAAGGGTTTATAACCCAGGCTAACCCGATAAAGCCCGTGCTAATCGGTCCTTTAATATTCTCCCCCAGGATGCGACCCTCACCAGTTTACTAACTCCCACGTACTGTACCAAGTTACTGCTAGGTGAAGAGGGGCAGCAAGTGTACCATATAGTACCTGGGGAATGGGAGACAACTAAGTTCAACTAAAAGAAGGGATCTTGGATCAAGAGCCCTACAGCAGCATCAAGGCTCCTCCTTGCAGGGGTCAATACCAGCTGTGGTATTAGTTCATCCTGACACAGTTATACATAAATACAATTATCACACATAGTTTAAATTACCTAAAATAACCCAAAAAGTCAAAGTGACTTGTTTCCACTGAAGGCTCAATACTCCGTCTGGTAATCACACAGCTTTCTGATCAGTCAAGTTGTTGGTAATCTATTGAAATGCAAATATAGGCAGAGAATAATTCATTAAAAGGGAATAAGTTTAGGTGTACATTACACAATTTGGATGAAATTAAATCAAGCCTGGCCAGTACTTATTCACTGGGCAAGCGCTAAACCCACAGGCGTTCCTCTAGCTCCAAGGGAACTGAAAAATAAGGAAGGGCAGCTTTAATTCCTAGGATCAAGATCCCATCACTAGAAATACATGACTTCCCTCCATGGTGATTACCAAGAAATCAAAAAAATATATAAATACATCACCAGGTGACGTATTTCTAAATCTTTTGATTTTTTGTTTATTATACCCAAGACCTTGATTATACCTCAAACACCTGTCAAGACTTCACTCATCCTCTTATATCTGTTTCTTCACTATAATTATAACCAGAGAGTCATAAATAAAGTAATTACAAACTTTTCAACCCACAACAAACATCAAGGCCTCTTAACATTTCTCAGTCATTAACTCACATTTACACACTAAAATGTAACTTTCTATAGTGAATATAATGCACAAGTAACTTACTTTCCCACACCATAACTAACAGCAACAGGAGACACAAGAATGATCTTATAATAGTCATTTTTGTCTCAAATTTTGTTGTTGTTGCTGGAAGGTGTGTCAGGTGGGGGCTGCCAGGCACCTCTATATTTATTTATTTATTTATTTTTATTAATTTGAACATGATACAGAGAAGTACAAGGAATATAATTTTTAAAGTGCAGCATGCCAAAGCCCCTTGTTTGCTGAGCATTATGGGCAGCTTAAAATTAACTTAAGATTAACTAAGCACTGATATATTCAGTGGTACAAAAATTATTGTAAAACAGATAACAATTTAGTACAAATGAGTATTATTTTGTAATTAAATAAATATATTGACTGAAAATGTCCTATTATAACTATAGTATAAAAAGAAACGAGAGAAAAATATTTAAAAAATGCATAACTATTATGCTTTGTGAGTATTTTATAAATTCGTGTATATTTTGAAGCTGGATGTTTAAAAAAAAAGGGGGAGTCTAAAGAAAAAGAAAGTTTGTAGCATAAAACTGGAACTTTTATTGTAGGAAAATTGTCTGTATAAGAAAGAAAGGAAGTAAGTTTTTTTAGGTAAGGTACACAAAAGGCAATTCCGTCATAATGTAAATTCCGGGATATCCCAAAAAAATTTAAAGGATTTTTGAAAACTTACATTTTTCTATTGAAATGCCAAAAATCTTTATAGGATACTTCAATATCCATAAATATAAGAAAAATGAAAATTATTGGTTCCTAAAGTTGGTTTTGGGGCCCACGGTTCCCTATCTCCTAAATCAGTTTATTTTCCCACTAAAAATCTACCTTGTCCATAATTATTTTTCCTTTTTCTTGCTTTTCGAAAGGTAAAGTCTGGGATTTTTCCTTAAATTCATGGTATAACTTAACAAATCCTTAGGACAATATGTTGCAGAGACTGGCAGATCTCTGCAACATATTGTTGGTGATGTAGTATAAAAGGAAACCTTTTTTAATGTTTTACCTCTGGCAGGATTGCTGTTTTTTTTTTTCAGTCTCATAACACGTCGACAACAGTTTTTTTTTTGGTTATATTTTATCCCGTATTATCCACATTATCCTGTGACTTCTGCAGCTACTACCTGGGGTTTTGTTTAAAATTGGTTTTAAATGTTAATGCACCCCCCCACCTTGGGCTTAAAAAGTTAGAGGGACTTTGGGCCAAATGGTAATTTTATGGCTGAAGAATTTTCAAGGAATTTTAAAACAAATTTTTAAAAAATTGAAAACCCCAAAATTTTCAAAAGGGAATAATAGGGGCTAGTACAACAGAAATTCCCAAAATTAAAGATTACAGGGCCAATGGGTCCCGGGGACCCTCCAAATTTTTTACTACTGGGAAAATTTAATCCAAGGACAAAGGTTTCTCAAGTTTCAAAGGGTTTTTTCTGAAGAATGGTTAAACAACTGGAAACAAAAAATTTTTAATAATAAATTAATTAAACCCCCGGTTTTAAAGGGGGGAGTTTTTTCAAAAATTTTTTTGCATTTTCCCTAAAAACCCCAATTAAATTCAACAAACCCCCATCAACACAACAAACCCCCCCCACACACCACCACCACACACACCCCAATCATCCCCCCCCGCAAACATAAAACCCTCAAACACCCCTTACCCCAAAAAAATTACCCCCAAAAAATATCCCCCCCCGGTGAAAGGTTAAAAACCGGGGGTGTGACGTTTGGGGGATCTTTTTGTTAAATGAGGTTGGGTGGGTTCGTGAAAAAAATGGTTTAAAAACTGTTAGGAATTTTTGCAACCTGGTTTATCTGGGGGTTTTGATATTTTTTTCGTAATTACCCAGCCCTTCAGCTGGGGACATGTCAGCTTTTTTTGGGGGGTTCCTTTTTTCTCCCTATAACCCCTACTTCGTGAAGAACTCTTAACCCAAAGGGAAAACGGGATGGCTTTTCCCCCTTCCCCTTGGATCAAAAAGTGCCTCCTTTCCCAGGCCTGAAGGGCCCACCATGGATTTAACACTATTTAGTGATAAACATTAATAAACCGTATAATAATATATTTTATAGATGTTGGGCTTGAATAGTTATATTTTTAACAGGTGGGAGACACTATATTATCTTCAATTTATGTTTGCAATAATTATCCTATGAAAATGCCTTGCCCACTTGAGTGTCAACATGTGTGTCAACATGTGTGCAAAGGTCAACATTTGGTCCTAGCTCTCACAGCGCACTACCTCACAAACGAGGTCCGGGTTCGAGTCCCTGGTACGGCTGAAAAACATTAGGGACGTGTTTTCATAAGACATCTGCTGTCCCTGTTCACCATCAGTATAAAAATGGGTACCTGGGTGTTAGTGGACTGGTGTGGGTCGCATCCTGGGTGTTAATAGACTGGTGTGGGTCGCATCCTGGGTGTTAGTGGACTGGTGGGGTCGCATCCTGGGGTTAGTGGGTGGTGTGGGTCGCCCTCCCGTTGGGTTTTGGACTGGGGTGGGTCGCATCTGGGGGTTGTGGACTGGTGTGGTCGCAATTTTTGGGGGTTAGTGACTGTGTGGGTCGATTCTCGTGTTAGTGGATGGTGTGGGGCGACCCGGTGTTAGGGGTGGTGTGGGTGCTCCCGGGGGGGTTTAGGGGACTGGGGTGGGTCGATCCTTGTGTTAGTGGGTGGTGTGGGTCGATCCTTTGGGGGGTATGGGCTGGTGTGGGGCGCATCCCGGGGTGTTAATATGGTTGGGGGGCGATCCGGTGTTAGTGGACTGGGTGGGTCGGGGATCCTGGGTGTTGTGGACTGTGGGGTGATCCTGGGGGGTTTTGACTGGGTGGGTGTTTCCCTGTGTTAGTGGATGGGGTGGGGCATCCGTGTGTTAGTGGATGGGTGGGGCATCCTTGTGTTTAGTGGATGTGTGGGGCGCTCCCTGTGTTAGTGGGGTATGTGGGTGCATCCCGGGGGTTAGTGGACTGGTGGGGTCGCACCCGGTGTTTGTGGGGCTGGTGGGGGGTTTGTCCTGGGGACAAAACTGACCTAAATTTTCCAGAAATGTCAGCAAAACAAGGGGCTTTCTATAAGTAGTTGTCATTGATGTCATCATGTCTGTATACTTGTAGAAATAAAGATGTATGTTTTATAAAATTTCTGTACTAGAAACATCTTTATTTCATAATCATAATTTAAATGAGGAAGAAGTGATATCTGTAGCCTTCGTACATGTGAACGACATGCATGAAATTTTGGCTTGATAAGATAAGATTGCCTTAGCTGCCATATTATACCATTATCGTCATCTGTTATTCTATATTATCTAGTCAATCACCAGTCATATTCAGAGCATCAGGGCACCAGTCAATACAGGTCAGCCAGTCACCAACACAACTGCTGTATAATACAAGTACTACATATATTACAAACCAGTAAGTCAGTTTCTTAACCAATTTGTACAGTCACATTTTCAACCCGTTATTATACAATACGTTTATTAAAATCCTTATGAATACTGATAAATTTGTTACAATTAGTAAACTCTTTATTAAGCCTTAATGACCCCTTGTGTAGCCAATAGATTTAAATCCCTATTAACTATTAATAGACCAGTGATTAATAGACTGTAGAGTGAGGGTTATCGATAGAAAATTTCTCCCACGAATGAGCTTCATCGAGAAATAAAAATAATCACGAAAATCACTCCCTATGGAAGCAAAAGACTCGGCAGACGATGCGATATGTGCCACTAGCACGGTAAGAGCCAACACAAGTGTCAGGAGCCCAAGACTGTTCAACTGCCTCCCAGCATACATAAGGGGGATTACCAATAGACCCCTGGCTGTCTTCAAGAAGGTGCTGGACAGGCACCTAAAGTCAGTACTTGACCAACCGGGCTGTGGTTCGTACGTAGGCTAGCGTGCGGCCAGCAGTAACAGCCTGGTTGATCAGGCCCTGATCCACCACGAGGCCTGGTCACAGACCAGGACGCTGGGACGTTGACCCCCGGAACCCTCTCCAGGTATTATATGTAAATTACCATGAATTGCAATAGTAGCTTAGTTTAGCCCCTAGTTATGCAACACATTTCGAGCAGATATTTAATAAAGGTCTCTCGAGGGTGAAACGTTGCACCAGTAAAGACGAAATAAAACTTTTCAGTATTGTCTAATAACCGTAATTATTATTATTATTATTATTATTATTATTATTATTATTATTATTATTATTATTATTATTATTATTATTGCTATACATGAATACTCAATTCATTTACTCAAAATTATTTACCCTATATGATTATACGAACAAATATAATGAGCAAATATTTATATTAACAAACATAGTGAGTAAATATAGACACACGACTGACATATTAGTCACGAGGAAGCCCTAAACCCGTAGGAGTCAGCACCCTCCCCCCTCCTCCTCAGGTAAGTCCCAGCTGGTCTGGCTGTGTTGTTTACCTCTGATTAATTCTCGCTTAGTTTAATGGAGCCATTTTTTTCCTAATACATTCAGAGTTATATTCTCATAAATCAAGGCTGGTTGGTTTGATAGGTTTAGAGTTCTACACATAAATATATTGTCCCAGTAACAGCTCTAGAGAGAGCCAAACCTTGCCCCGGTACAGCTCTACGCAGCGAAAAGTTGTCCCGGTACAGCTCTACCTAGCGAAAAGTTGTCCCGGTACAGCTCTACCTAGCGAAAAGTTGCCCCGGTACAGCTCTACCTAGCGAAGAGTTGTCCCGGTACAGCTCTATCTAGCGAAAAGTTGTCCCGGTACAGCTCTACGCAGCGAAAAGTTGCCCCGGTACAGCTCTATCTAGCGAAGAGTTGTCCCGGTACAGCTCTAGCGAAAAGTTGTCCCGGTACAGCTCTACCTAGCGAAGAGTTGTCCCGGTACACCTCTACCTAGCGAAAAGTTGCCCCGGTACAGCTTTACGCAGCGAAGCACCGCCCCAATAAAAGCTTGTCTCTATCTCTTTATCTTCATCACAAATGTCAACACCGCACACTTCAATTAAATGTTTTAGTAACTGTCAGGAGAATCATGATATATATCTTGTTATTCATTTAGTCTCACAACAGAAGAGCCCGTGTTCAGTCTCGGGCGGGTGTAGACGGCAGGTTAAGTCTTGTGACACCTAAATACTCAGGTTCACCCAGGAGTATGTAGGTACCTTCGTGTTTGTCGACTGTTTTGAGTGACATCTTTGGGGGAGCAGGTTAACCTTGGAACTGAATTAGCTGAGGTAAGATAACAGCCCTTAACCTGTAAACGAGGTGGGGTAAGATAAAAGCCCTTAACCTGTAAATGAACTGAGGTAAGATAACAGCCCTTAACCTGTAAACGAACTGGGGTAAGATAACAGCCCTTAACCTGTAAATGAACTGAGGTAAGATAACAGCCCTTAACCTGTAAACGAACTGGGGTAAGATAACAGCCCTTAACCTGTAAATGAACTGAGGTAAGATAACACCTGTAAACGAGGTGGGGTAAGATAAAAGCCCTTAACCTGTAAACGAACTGAGGTAAGATAACAGCCCTTAACCTGTAAACGAGGTAGGGTAAGATAAAAGCCCATAACCTGTGAGGTGGGGTAAGATAAAAACTCTTAACCTGTAAACGAGCTGAGGTAAGATAACAGCCCTTAACCTATAAACGAGCTGAGGTTTTTGCACAAAACTTCATGATATTGTTCCACAAACTATCACAGAAACCCACGGGGGTGATCCACAAGTTATCCCACAGAGACCCACCGGGATGATCCCCAAATTATCACAGGAACACACTGGGGGGAGAGGGGGACCACACGTTAACACATGAAAACCCACTGGAGTGATCCACATTATTATTATAATCAAGGGGAAGCGCTAAACCAGTAGGATTATACAGAGCCTGGGGGGGGGATGTGGAAGGCATTCAGGCTTAACTCAGGGAACTGGAGCACAGATCCAATTCCCTAAATCAAGAGCCCCTCACCAACATCAAGGAACCTTCCCTGAGGGGAGAGTGATCCACAAATCACTTGCAAAAACTGATAAACGTGTCTTCCACAGGTGGTGGAAATATGGAACATGATGGTGTGGGAATTCGATCAGCAGCTGAAACAAGTGAGTTAATCTTGTTGACATTTTTATTTAGTTCCAATATTTTTTTTTCTCTCATAATACTAGCAACAACGTTCAAGGTTAACTATCATTAAGTCTGCATATCACTTGCACACTGCCAATAAGAAGAACTTAAAGCTATAAGATTAAACTAGAGTAGTCGATAGGCTTGAAAGGTGTATCTTAGTCTATTACCTCAGTTTTTGTACGAGGGATTACATTGCCCTTTGAATAGGTGACATACAGCCTTAATGGTCTTCCTGTAGTAGATTGCAACTATTGGTATCTCCAGTGACGGGAGAGAGAAATACTAAACATTACGAACAGAAATATGTAGTTAAGTCTTCAGACAAGCCTGCAGCAGATAAGCTCTGCCAGATCTCCCGCAGAAGACTAACCTTGTATTGAGGTCTCTGCTGTAGGAGACGGATGCTTATCTTTACAGCTCTGCTGTAGGTTATATTTTTCTTGCATAATTATAGCAGTACACAATATTCATATAAAATATTTCTACTGCCCGATGACACATGACATTGTAATCTTTCTCTTCCCAGCAGCATCTGTTAGTACCTTGGATCTGTCATCTCTAGAAGCAGAGAAGAGGAAACTATTGGCCCGTCTAGAGGAGGCACAGGAAGCTCTGACCTGCCGGGTGTGTTTAGACCGGCCAGTGGCAGCCGTGTTCATGCCCTGTGCCCACCTCAACGCCTGCAGCTCCTGCTCAGCCTCCCTCACCACATGCCCAATCTGTCGCTCTCCTATACACTATGCTGCTCCTGTCATTATAGACTGAACACCCTCTCCTCTGCTATTTTACCCAACATTGTAATACTCATGGGTAAGTGCTAACTCGTAAGGGAATACAATACCTGGGGAATGGGAGACAGTAATCAGTTTTAATCAGAGGAAGATGGTAAATCTAATTGCAGGGAGCAGAAGCCTTTCGTCAGCATCAGTACACTCTTGAGGGATTTTTATGCAACAAAATCGCAAAACAGTTGATTCAAATATGCTGAAATAACCACTTAATAAATCAAGACCATTAATAATTACATAACAGGACAATCACTTAAGAATTACTGACATCATCATAGACTGAAGATGTGCTCAAGTCCTCTATATTTTCTTTAAGCTCATCTGCCTATTATATAATTGTGATATTAACCTTCATGCTTTTATGGAGTGAGGTATAGGCGTAGATATGAGTTTAGAAGCGAGAGGCAGTGTTTGTATTATATATTAGTGTAATTTTTTGTTCGGGCATGTTTAACATTCAACTATATACATGTTTTATATATGTTTTTCTGATACACTAACTTTATAATGTAGAGTCCCAGCAATGGTTTTAATTGGGCTGTCGAGTGTACGTTGTGTCATACCCGGGTTATCAATCAATATATTCCCGTACTTAAATAGGTACCTGAACCACATTCTTTATTAAATAGGTGTGTTGTCGCCCTTACAAACTTGCTTGATCATATATGGTGAGCTGAGTGGCTGCTTGTGTATTTCACTTGTTATACACAGTTAAATCACTCATTTGTTTTATATAATTTTTTAGGTAAATAACTGGTGTATTTTGAGTTTACGTTAATGGTACAAATTTGCCAAGTATGTTTTTAATGGATTGCCCATGGGGTGTGACATAATAGATAATGGGAGAGTTGAGAAGTAATCTTGGTAGAGTGTGAGTCATGTTAGTGTGCTCCAAGGAACGATCATGGAAAAGTTGGAGTAATCTGGTAAGTGTGAGTCAAGTTGTGTGTCCAAGGAATGATCATGGGAAAGTTGAGAAGTATCTTGGTAAGTGTGAGGAAGATGTCCTCAAGGATGATCTATTGGAAAGTTGAGTAAGTAACTGGATGTGATCAAGTTGATGTCGTCAAAGGCAATTTGGTATTCAGTTTAACGACTATGCTTGACAGAGTGTAGTCATGTTAATGTGCACAAGGACGATATAGATAGGCAAAATTAACTGAAGTAATTTGTAGAGTGTGAGTAAAGTTGTGTACTCAAGAACGAGTGCACAATCGGATATTTGTTCTGAGAATTGTTTATTAAATTTGGTTATTGAAAAGTCTGCAAGTGGAACGCAGTTTATGACTATTTCATTTAAGACATGGCTAGGAATTATACAAATTATAATATGAAATTATTGCATAACATATAAGAAAATCAACATAATTAATGCCATACTGTATTTAACTTAGAAATTTAAAAACAGTTTGAAGAGACCAAGTCCTCATGATCCTACAGAATCACCTAAGAATAGTAATAGTGTATTGTACTTGCATTTTAATTTATAATGGCAGTGTATTAATGGACATCTTAATTTCTAAAGTCAAACTTCAATTTAACCCAAATAAAAAAAGTTTAAAATTGGTCGCAACTGATGCAATATAAAATAAACATAATTCAATCGGTTGTGTTCATTATAGCAATTGAAGGAAATATCAACAAAAATAAAATTAAACCAATGTGCAGTTTAATATACTCTTTTAGATCATTGCCCATAATAATTTGACAGTAAAATGTAAGTCTTGCATTCATAAAAGTACATCTCAGCTGCAAGTGCATAATACTTAAAATAATGATTAAATGATTATATTTACTTTAATAATTTATAAAATATGGTAAAATGCTTATTGTCTACTGACGAATTAAACAGCTAACTAATCGGTTAAGAAATTCTTATTAATTTTAATTTCAAAGGGATGGATTGGAAGACACTAAACCCATAGGGGTCTTATGGTACCTAGGGAATAGGAGGCAATCAGATTCAATCAAAGGGAGGTTAGATTCTTCCCTGGCATGTAGCATCTCCCTTAAAGGGTCGAATCAACAAATCAATGTGATGTAAATGGTTTAGATATTTTCATGTGATTTTTTTAAATATGTGAAGTATTTAAATGTATAGAAAAATGTGGTAAAACGTTATTCTGATGCATATTTCGACGATTCTGCGTTTTCAAGCATATGAAATGTGCACTAAAATACCTTCTTTAGAATATTTTTCTGTATTTTTAATCTAACATATTTTAACAAACTCATGAAAGGTCTATAAAAAGAATGAGACAATTGTGTAACATTTGAGGATCTTTATTCTGGAAACGTTTTGCCAGCCAATTATATGTGGTTAGAGGGGTCGATTCACAGCTCCTGTCCTTCCTCGCTGGTCACTTCTAAGTTCACTCCTGGCTTCAAGAGCCTTGTCGTACCTCTGCTCAACGCTATGTATGGATCCCGCCTCTTCAGTCCAATACAAAACCACCGAAAAAAACATTTTCCCAATAAAGATTCCCAGATGTTGCACTAGTGTCCCATTCTTCAACAAATTAATGTTTATTATGCACAAGTTCTGTGGTGATGGTGTTGTGTTTACACACACACTTAACAAACTCCTTAATGTCCTCACTTCAACTAAAGATTAAAGATTTATTTGATGTAATACACTTTCTTCTCACTATATAACTATTCCAGTATTTTTTTTGTCAACAAGCCGGCCGTCTCCCACCGAGTTTAAACTGCATAACCCAGCATAAACCAGGTAGTAGCTTGGTGAATCAAAATCACTTTAGATGGTTTAGCTTCTTCAGTTCTTTGTGTAATACATGAATCTGATATACAATATTTCTTGAAATGATAATGTCACATAAAATAATGGGACTACACACACTATGGGACCAAAATTAATGATATTATTACACCACTACGGTTACAAATATTAATATTAGTACAGAATTGCAAATTTCTGAAAAGAATCTATAACAAGTAAACATCTGTTAATTATGAAAACATGAGTCAAATACCTACAGTACAGGTACATGGTTAGCAATTTTTATACACAATATATTTTCCTGCCTTCATATTTAAATGTTTCATTATTTATTTTTACGATCTTCTTAAATTTATTATAAATTATTTTACAGAGAATGAATAATTATTATGCTCATCACTGTCTCTTAATTAACAATTAATCCTAACACATTTTTGGCTATATATTTTTGGCAGTCAAGTCCTAACATGAGCTTCATATATAATCATGATAAGAACATCTTATAAAATTATATTTTCCTGCTTCATAAAGTTTCATGAATTCACATCTATAAGAGAACTGAAAAAGACTGTGCTGTTGCAAGTTACAAATCCCTGTCTCCCACTACTTCCTCATCAACAATGGGAATTTTGTCCTCGGCTGTAGCAGAAGTAATCTTAGAAGTGACGTGAGAAAGTGTGTGCTGAACAGCACCAAACACGGTATTACCGGCAGGTGTGGGTTCAGTTAACAAAGTGGAGTAGCTGCTGATTGGTTCCCCCTCACGCGAGTGATGCTGACCATATATGAAGTATACCAGGAGACCTGCAATGTAAGGAAAGGGTACTGTAGTTATTAGATTTTCCATACTTTACATGTATGATTTATTATACTGCTGTATGGTTATACATGTTTGAGATGCTGGTGTTCATACCTTATTTAATTCTTTATATTTAACAATTTCCTAAGTTCATATATCAAATATTAAACAGTTTTGTCCTTAGCTATGCAAGTCTCGAGAAACCACGAGTTTCCTGGTCCTAACACTATAGTCATACCAAGAAAGAGAATAACTACTGTACGCAGGTAGCGTTATATTTCAATAGAGGAAGCAAAGTTGATTGCATCAAATAAATTTTTCAGATAGTGCATGTGTGAGAATGAGCAGGTGTTATGACTTGTCATTTAGATAACATTCAGAGTATTAATTCCTTTATGACAAACCGGACAACACATTTACAGGACTTTGTACAAACCTCGTATATTAACAATCTGGCAACACAACTGCAGCTTTGTAAACCTCGTCTATTACAAGCCAAATGGTGCTGCAGTAACTGAACATAATTAAATTACTGTTCGATAAAACACAGTCATTATGATATAAGACTGCAAGCTCTTCCTATACTTATCTACATAACATATAGCACAAACTACGATGTTCTCACCTATGACCATCCATACAATGAAGCGGATCCAAGTCATGGGGTTGAGGTGGACCATGAGACCAACATTGAAGAAGATGGAGATGAGAGGAACTAGAGGCACAAGAGGTACACTGAAGCTCAGTGCTATCTGGTTCTGACGGTGAGCTACAATCACCACCACACCTGTCAACACACGTAATACTGTATTATAAAGTTTTCGACATTAGTAAATTATGATATTCATGAAGTATGAAAAGGTAAACTCTTGTACATGATGGAGTAAGACAAAGTAACCTTCTTGTATGATGGCATGTAACAAGTAAACTATTCTGCATGACGGCCCTCCTGTAAAACATTAAGTCAGGATAGCTACACAATGCATGTATATTAACTTTTAATTAATAATATTCTAATATAATAAACTTTGGCTGTTGCAAAGCAAATGGTCAGTTTCACTACTAGAGAGAGCTGAAGTAGTATGAAGCTGTGTAAACACTTGAAATGTCTGATTAAATGTTAAAACAGATCAAATACATTTCGGACCCCCAAAACATTAAGCAAGAACACGCTTATGTACAGCGTGGAAAATATATTACTTGTAACAGTTTCATTGCAATATACTGTATATTTAAATCACTAATATATTTTTGGATGCAAATAAGAATTTTTGATGCAACTTATTAACCCTTGTATCTTATTTTGAAATACACTTTTACTAGCAAATAAAAATGGCATGAAAACAGCTATTTTTACCGTGGTAATTCATGTTTTCATGAAGATATTACAATTACCAGAGAAATTTAAACTGAAATTATATGTAAAATGAACAATAGCTTTTGACTTACTGATGGCCAATATAAAAACTAGCATAACAGCAATTATAATAGCCCAAGGTGAAGGATATGGCATAGTGAGGAAGTTTCCGCCAAACTGTAGTAGAGTACTGAGAGCAGAACTGCATGTTGTGAAGATAACTACTGCCCAGGCCACCACAGACCCAGCCTCTCGCTTCCCCAACACTCGTATCAACCATCGGCAGGATGACCTCAGCTCACCACCTTCGTCACCCTGCAGAATAATAATATCAGTTATTACAATGGTTGAAATTATCACTATGTTTTTTCTTAAAGGGATGGACCGGTAAGCCGTTGGAAGGCCTCGGCCAGATGACCAAAAGCCCCAGCTGTGGGTCATCATATGACTAAGACATGCGTCAGGAAACACTTGTTCTGTTTCCTGACAAACCTACCTAACCTAACATCGTTGTATTCTAACCATGTATCATTTACCTGATAAGCTTTCAGTTTTTAGAAATAAATTATGTAAGTAAACACTTTAAGGTATCTGTCGTATCTGCGTTGCCTGTGCAAAGACTGATTATGTGTCAATGACAGTAAAAGTTTCTTTTTTGGGTCACCTGCCTCGGTGGGAGACGCCAGCTTGTTGAAAAAAAATATCAACACCTCTGAATTGTCTAGCTAAATAAAATCAGCTCTAATTGTAAACAGAGTTCTCTCCAGCATTAAGATCCAGCAACAAATAACGTACTTGAGACAGTCTATATCTTAAAAACTAATGAATTTTACTTGCTCTACAGATCTACCTAATGATTCAGAAGCTGGCTCATCTGTAGAAATTCAGACCGACTCACCTTGATCATTTCATCCATAGGAGTTGTTGGAGTAGGCAGAGCTCCAGGTGTTGGAGTGGTGGCCTGAGTGTGGGAGGGGCTCTTTATATTACACCTGGAAAAAATCACTTAAAATTAGTTACAAATCTTTATGGTATAAACCTTAGTAACAGATACCGATAAATTGGTTTAGAAAAACACGTGAGCGAACACTAGGACATGTTAGAAAACGTTTCGGTCCTGGGACCTTGATCAAGGTCCCAGGACCGAAACGTTTTCTAATAAATAGTATATCCTAGTGTTTGCTCAAGTATCTTCCTAAACAACTCATTATCATCAAGTTGCATAAGAATTACGTTCAAGGTTAGGTTAGGTTCGTCAGGAAACAGGGCAAATGTTTCCTGACGCGGGTCTTGGTCAGATAATGACCCACGTTTCGCCTACACAATAGGCTGAAGAAGCCTACTGTGTAGGCGAAACGTTTCGAAATAAAGATACCTAACTGTTGCATATGTGTCTTACCTAGCAATATGTCGGTATTTTATACCATTTTAATGTTCAATCTGTCAGACACTGCAACTCAAGGGTATCTTGGTACAGACCTGCAATCAACTTCGACTACCTCTACTAGTGAGAACGGCTGGATTTGAGAGGGACCTGACCTCCCAACATCTGCGTTCTACTAGTGACCTACGTCTCACCTCCTGGCGCTATATAAGGCTCCATCCTGTCACTTCAACTCCATATTGTTAGGTAAGACACATATGCAACAGTTAGGTATCTTTATTTCGAAACGTTTCGCCTACACAGTAGGCTTCTTCAGTCGAGTACAGAAAAGTTGATAGAAGCAGAAGATATTTGAAGACGATGTAATCAGTCCATCACCCTTAAAGTTACTGATTACATCGTCTTCAAATATCTTCTGCTTCTATCAACTTTTCTGTACTCGACTGAAGAAGCCTACTGTGTAGGCGAAACGTTTCGAAATAAAGATACCTAACTGTTGCATATGTGTCTTACCTAACAACCTGTCGGTATTTTATACCATTTTAATGTTCAACTCCATATTGTTTCAAACTTCGGAACAATGCTCTTCTCCAGATTGAGGGACTGACCACCTCAAAACTTTAAGGGTGATGGACTGATTACATCGTCTTCAAGTCTCTTCTGCTTCTATCAACTTTGCTGTACTCGACTGAAGAAGCCTACTGTGTAGGCGAAACGTTTCGAAATAAAGATACCTAACTGTTGCATATGTGTCTTACCTAAACAACCTGTCGGTATTTTATACCATTTTATTGTTCACTCTGTCAGACACTGCAACACAAGGGTATCTTGGTACAGACTTGGAACCACTTCAACAACCTCTACTAGTGAGAATGGCTGGATTTGAGAGGGACCTGACCTCTCAATGTCTACATTCTTACTCTACTAGTGACCTACGTCTCACCTCCTGGCGCTATATAAGGCTCCATCCTATCACTTCAACTCCATATTATTCCAGACAATGGAACAATACTCTTCTCCAGACTGAGGGACTGACCACCTCAAAACTTTAAGGGTGATGGACTGATTACATCGTCTTCAAGTCTCTTCTGCTTCTATCAACTTTTCTGTACTCGACTGAAGAAGCCTACTGTGTAGGCGAAACGTTTCGAAATAAAGATACCTAACTGTTGCATATGTGTCTTACCTAGCATTCCCAGGTGCTGCATGATCCACGCATTAATGGCAGTAGGAAAATATATTCAAAGGTCCTTAAATGTCCAAATTGTAATAAAGTTGGTAGAATTACCGACAATATGTAAAGTAAAAGGGAACAAGTGCAACTAATGTGACATTTTTATTGTGGCAATGTTTCGCCACAATAAAAATGTCACATTAGTTGCACTTGTGTCCTTTTACTTTACAAATGTCCAAATTACAATAATGTACAAGAATTTTCATGAAATAAATTACAAGTAATGTTGAGCCTAGTAAATGTGAGTTGAATTTTTGGCGAATTATTTTTACAGTAAAAAAACAAACAGAATTTATGTTTCAACTTTTTCCAAGCAGATTAATCAGTGCAGTACTATAATTCTCTCGTTGAAATATTCATTCAATCTTAAGAATGCAGATGTACACTTAACAAGTTTTCCTGGAGAGCACTGAAACTGTCTTTGTGGCAACGTTTCGCTCACCAGGAACTTTGTCAGAGCCGGCTTGACAAGATCTATGCTCACCAGGAACTTTGTCAAACCGACTTGACAAGATCTACGCTCGCCAGGAACTTTGTCAAACCGGCTTGACAAGATCTACGCTCATCAGGAACTTTTTCAAGCCGGCTTGACAAGATCTACGCTCATCAGGAACTTTGTCAAGCCGGATTGACAAGATCTACGCTCATCAGGAACTTTGTCAAACCGGCTTGACAAGATCTACGCTCACCAGGAACTTTGTCAAGCCAGCTTGACAAGATCCACTTGGAGTTCACTACCTTTGTAACTTGGTCATGATTGTGACCAGATCTACATGGAGTTCACTACCTTTGTAACTAGTTCAGCTATCAAAACTTTGGGGTCCAGTCCCGGGACCCATTATGTACCTCTGTATAATCTTTTGACTACCACCCACAGGATGAGTATAGGGTGCATAATAAACATATTAAACTAACAAAGTTCCTGGGGAGCGAAATGTCACGATAAAATGTCACATTAGTTGGTAACAATAGTCTCTCCTCTTATAGATTACCTGGATGCAGGTTGGTAGCGCAGGATGATGACAGAGGCGCTGACAATTGTGTATGCCATAAGGGTGCCAATGCTCATGAATTCCACTAGTTTCTCAATGTCAAAAAACAAAGCGATGAATGCGGAGAGAATACCGCACAGAATAAGCGTGATGATGGGTACCTGGTAAGAAGAATCACGTCGTTATATAAGAATATAGCACACTGGCAAAGAATACAAGACCGAAGAAAAATTGTTTTCATGGCAAAATACTGATTTCGAATTTCAGATTATTTTTTTCCAGATACTGTAGTGGATTTTATTCCACCTGTCATTATTTATATGGTAGGTAGGCATAATGTTTGTCAGGAAACAGGACAAGTGTTTCCTGACGCGGGTCTTAGTCATATGATGACCCACAGCTGGAGCTTATGGTCATCTGACCGAGGCCTGCCACTGGCTTACCGGTCCACGTCTTTAAAAATCATGGTAATGATTATAACCACTAAATATTATTGTGTGTATGTGAATGATATCTTCTATGTCAAAATGGCTTCCTAAGCTTAAGTGAGGTTTGAACTAACTGATAAATGGCACTGTAGGGTATCACTATTTAGCCTGAACTAATCAGGTATACCTCTGAATGTTGTCTAAGCCACCTTGACCTTTTCATGACTAATTTTTGAGACTAAGTTGACCCCCCCTCCCTCATTTTTAAAGAGATGACTTGATAAACATTTTTTCAACCCTGAATGCCCAGCGACACACAAATGCGAAAATATTTCACACATGTAAGTCATAATGAGAAATAAGTAAGAAGTAACTATAGGATAACATCAACTCCATCAGAGACCTGAGAGTTGCTGTAACATTATATTCAAAGTAACAAGTTATTTTAAACTAAATATATAAGGTTAACATTCTATACTATAAATATCAACCATGCTCTATTATTATTATTATTATAAAAATGAAGCGCTAAACCACCACGGGGAAATATTTAAGTAAATTGTTTATTTTGGGAGATAATTAAAATAAATGTATTTTTTAAACGGTAATTTTTTTTTAATTACGTGGGTTGTGTAAGAGAGACTAATATTTTAAACAAATAGGAAAGAAGTTATATTTTGATAAGAAAATTTAACAACATAACCCAACCATAAGCACTAAATATATTTTTATTGCACATTACAATAAAACACACCTGGAGCAGAGTACATACTGACCATAATTAAATACAATAGTATACCGTAATTGCTTTATATAACCAGTAATTTAGGTGGAATGTAAAAATTTGTTTACTGGCAGAGTGGGTTGTTGGTAATAAAATTTGAAGACAGTATTTAAACGGTGAGCACTTTAGAGGTGGGGATCTATAAGTTGTGAGTGATGACGTGTATGGCAGGTGCATAAAAAAGGATCAAGTTACAAATGGAAATAATTATCTGAGAATGGGGAATATTTTTTTCTTTTTTTGATGGAGAATGGATTTGTTCTAACACGAATACATGTTAGTCTCTAGACTTTAGAGCAATAATCTCCAACCTTTTAGTATTTAAGGGCCTATTTGAAACGCAAAAAATTAGAGGGCCGCATTTTGTATTTTTTTTCTAATTTTTATGAACAATTACAATAACATTTTGTAATTGTCGACATTATGCACTGTGGCTCCTACATAAAAGTTAATTTATAATTTCATGTGAAGGTCGCATTCATTTCCACAACGGGCCACATGTGGCCCTCGGGCCGCAGGCTGGGGAATAATGTTCTAGAGTATGTTACAGTCTCTTACTGCAGTGCAAATAAAACTTGAAATTTCAGGGTTAGCTAAAATCATGTAACTACTTAATGAACAAGTAATATCTTGCCTTAGTTTTATCCGAGACCCGAGCTAGCCAGGAGAACAGGAGACCATCCGCAGCCATAGCGTACACACAGCGTGGTAGACTGAAGAGAGAGCCAAAGAGTGTGGTGGTCATACCACAAATGGCACCCACACTCACTACGTACTTGGCCCACTTAGCACCATGAGAGGCAAACGCATCAGGGAGAGCAGCAGCAGGGTTAAGGGTGTAGTATGGTACCATGAGAGTGAGTGTAGCGCCAACCATGACATATCCTACAGTCACTACACTCATAGACACTAATGTGGCCCGAGGAATAGACCGTGCTGGATCCCTTGCCTCTTCACCTGCTGTGGCTATACTATCAAAACCAACAAAGGCATAGAAACAAGTAGCAGCTCCAGATATTACACCAGAAAACCCAAAGGGTATAAACCCACCCTCTAAATTCCAGTTTGCGATGTCTGCGTATGACATACCTACGGCTATAACGAATGTTATAACACAAAGGTTAATGAGAGTAAAGACAGAATTAAAGTAAGCTGAGCCCTTGACACCCATGGTGAGAAAAGCACAGTAGACGAGCGTCACGGCAAAGGCTAAGAAGTCTGGGTAAGGTGCAAGGAACTCAGAATGCATCTCCCCCACTGATGTTATTGTAGCGTTGCTCAGAGCACCATCGAAGAGGGAGTCCAAGTAGCCTGACCATGCCCGAGAAACTGATGCCGCACCTGTAATATAAGTTGCCTTAATTACACATACAAGTTGTTCACAGAGGTGTTACAGTACGTACAACAATTTTATTTAAAAATGTTATTGCATAGAGATGAGGCTCATAGCTCAGTGGTAATGCCTTCAGCTCACACCCACACGACCCGGGATTAATTGAGGTGGGCGAAGTTTATGAACAGCTCTCCTTACACCTTTTCACCTAACAGTAAATAGGTACTTGTGTATTAGTGGACTGTTCAGCAATACACTCTAGGAGTCTAGGTGGTAACTGCACTTTAGACTGAGCGAGATTTTGAACGAACGGAGGTAGGATAAAAACTTTTGACCTGTAAATTCAGTGGCGCCAAAAAAATTTAATTACATACAACGATGGCATTATATAAAGATTTAACCTGGGATATACCAGCAATTCCTCAAAATAATTTAAATCTATCAGTGATCCTCGTTTAATGGCTCACCCATAGAAAGTTAGAGACTCCAATGGAAATAAATCACTTTGACTTTTTTGGGTTATCCTAGTTTCTCTGCTATGTATGATAATCTATGTAACTGTATTTGTGTATACCTGAATAAACTTACTAGAGGGTAAACGAAAATACTACCTACCAATCATATGTTCCAAGATAATATTCCAGCCAATGACAAAAGCCCAGAACTCGCCGATGGTGACATAGGTATATACATAGGCAGACCCGGCCTTGGGCACTCTGGCACCGAACTCTGCATAGCACAGGGCAGACAAGAAAGATGCAAACCCGGCCAAGAGGAATGAGAGAACGATGGCAGGTCCGGCTGTGTCTTTAGCCACTGTTCCAGTCAAAACGTAAATTCCTGCCCCTACCATGTGCCCAATTCCTGAAAAATAAATTTAAACTTCAACACTGCTTTTGAGCTGGCGTACATTATCTCCACATTTTCATGACATAATTTCAAGTACTTGCACCATATAGAAATAATTAAAATGTATACAAAAAAATTGCACTCTCAATATGTATGAGCATCTGTTCAACGTCAGTGAGACTTTTCTTTATTAATCAATATAATAATAAGCATGCAATGGTAGAATTGTAACCAACCTAAGAGTGTAATGTCGAGTGTTGAGAGACATCTATTGAGTGGGGTGTCCATAGCATCAGTAGCAACCTTCTTGGTACGAGACATGCGGTCCCAGGTCCCACTCCATCCCTCCACCAGCAGCCTCTGTCTGAGCCCCGTCATGGCTTCCTGCACACCTTCACCCACTCTCACACCCTCCTCGCTACGTCCACCTGCGCCACCACCAAGATAACCAGCATAAAAGTCACGTACTTACATCCCACGATTAGATTACTGGAATGCCCATGAGAATTACGTATTGAGGCATGCTTGAACACGTGCTTTTTATGAGTAAATGTCCCTTGTGGGTTTAGCACTTAGTTATGATTGCTGTAATAATTATGTGCCTGAAACGTGTGTCCTTAAGACCATAATAAAAAAAATACATATTATGAAGCCAAAGCCTAAATATTTTTATTCTAACTTACAAACCAATATTATTATTATTATTATTATTATTATTATGGATTCCGCAAGGGAGGTTCCTTGACGCTGGTGAGGGGCTCTTCATCCAGCGAATTGGATTTGTGCTCCAGTTCCCTGAATTAAGCGTCAATACCGTCCATTCCCCCCCACAGGCGCTGTGTAATCCTACGGGTTTAGTGGTCCCACTATTATATGAATAAGCGCTAAACCCATAGGAGCCATATAACGCCAGAGGAATGAGGAATAGGAGACAATAAGGTATGAGCCTAGGAAGTACATGGTAGCCCTAATTCCCTAGATCATCCATTCGCCGCTTGACCTGCGCAGAGTGCGGACGTGTGACTACTGCCCTCTGCTGGCCATTGGAGAAGACATATTTTCACAACATGGCGCAGTCTGTGAGAAGGCGTTTGCACACAGTGTGCATTGAATTATTGCGTGGTGCAATAACGCCTCAGTCTGCGCAAGTGCTTTTACCGCAAATTATCCGTGACACCTATGGTGTTGCGGATCAAGAACTGTATGGTGTGGCACTAAAGGGTGCCTATCGTATTTTCGTCAAGCTGAGTTCAGCTGGAGTGTATGAACGGCTGGTTGACAAGTACAGGACAGGAGCGTGGATGTTTATTCAGCGATATGTGTTCGCTAATCGACGTGTCGAAGCAATTACAAAAGGGGTGAAAATCCGAAATGTGCCATTTGAGGCGGACGAGAATGATCTGCGGTATGTTTTTGAACAGTATGGACCTGTACACCTGGCTATGGCTGGTAAATGGACGGATGGGGCGTATGCCGGCAAGCCGGATGGTACGTTCACGATCAAGATGGAGTTGAGGCATGCCATCCGTCTTACGTCATACTGGACGCATTTAGGACACAGGTAATGGTGTACTACGCTGGGCAGCAGAAGACGTGTAGGTTATGTGGTGCATATGACCATATGGCGGCCCAGTGTGGGAGATGGCAGCGGAGAAAGGACCTAGGTAGTGAGAAGGTGAAAGAGCCAGAACCAGAGGTGGGTCATGCTGATGAGGCACCTGTACATAGAAGTGGCACTTCCTGGAGTGAGGAAGTGGAGCGTGAGCTGCCACTGGTGGGTACCAGCCCATCACTGTCACAGTTGGTGGGAAGTGAGGCATCTGCCATGTGAGAACGGGAAGACTGTGCAGATTGGTGACGTGCGGGTAGAGGAAGGCCTACTGGTGAACGTGCGGGAAAAAAATCCTTTGAGAAGCAAGTTGCTGAGGATAACTTAAGCATGGTGGGGAGTACTGTTCAGATTGAAGATGAGCAACTTGGAAGATTGGCGAACATGGCAGATGACTCGCCAGGAGTGGTGGAAGTAATTGAGGTGACTGCTGAGATTCACAGGGAGGCATCCAGTGAGTTGGAAATGGTTTGCAGAGTGTGTCAACCGTAAGAGGGCGGCGACATATTCTGACTCTGATGATTTTTGACCCCGGCACAGAGACCGGGGAAAAAGCCATGGGTTTGATGTGGTGCGTGGGAGCACTAAAGGTACGTCTGATCAGGTGTTGGATAAGGGGAAGCCACCAGTGGGCAGTGGAGAGAAAAGTGGACGCAGCAGACACACTGAAAGCGTGTCAGTGAAAGGTGAAAAGGGGCAGAGGGTGAAATCACATAAGTAGGTTTTCCCGGGTGCATGACAGTGAATATTAATGGATTGTGTGCGAGTGAGAAGCGTCTGTGGGTAAAGGGATTTTTAAGACGTTATGCTATAGGACATTGTTTTTGTGCAGGAACATAATTTCAAGTTGGAAAGAATTGGAGGTGGATGGGTACAGAGTGTTTGTGATGTATTCGGAGCGAATGAAGGGGGGGGTGGGAATCCTGATCCGAGAGACGAGCCCGTTTGTTGTTCTTAGGAGTGAAGGGGGGGGGGGTCGTGTGTTAAGAATAGATGGGTGGTGGAGAGGTGAGCGGATGGCAGTCATTTGTGTGTATGTGCCGGCTGAGAATGATGTAAGGGTAAAGAATGAATTTGTGAATAACGTATTGGTATATTATTTGCGGTCATTACCGTCTGTGACAATAGTTGGTGGCGACTGGAACTGTGTGGTGCGCAGGAAGGATGTGGAACCGAGAGGGGCAGGGTGTTTTTTGGCAGGTTTAGGGGATCTATTGAGAGGTGTGGGATTGAGGGATATAGTTGATGGAGGGGATTGCGAGATAGAGCACACTTTTCATAGAAAGGGATATGCTGCACGATTAGATAGGTTGTATGTGACAAGGGGAGTGAGGTGACGCGGGTGCAGACGGTGAATGTCGTTTATTCAGATCATAGGGCGGTTTATGCTGATTAAATTGGGACGGTTTGCCTAAGAGATATTTGGGTACTGGAAGCTGAATGTACGACTACTGGGTGAGGGGTGGAGGGAGGGGATTTTGAAAGTTTGGGGGAGGACTTATGGGGTGGGGGTAAGAGTGCAAGCGATTTATTGGGGTGGTGGGATGGGGTTGCAAAGACGAGGATCAGGCAATACTATGTGCGAAGGGGAAAGAATGAGGCATGGATGACATTTGGGCTTCAACATATTTAGAGGGGCGGTTGCAGGGTTGTTATCAGAGGGGTGCTGTGACAGGTGTGTATCCAATGGAGGAAATTGAAGCATTAAAGTGGCAGATAAGGGATATGCACAATGAGAGATTTGATGAGGCGAGGGTGCAAGGTGGGTTAGAGGAGGCGATTTGGGGTGACAGGCCGTCAGCCTGTGTGTTACGGGGTCAGCGGAGACGCAGGTTGGCAATGGAAATTGATAAGCTGGTAGTACACGAGGACTTAGGTGGGTATACGAAGGGTCAGGAGTTGAAAAACTACTGAGGGTAGGGAGTGGTTTTATGGATAGTTGGTTTGGAAAATATTTGAGGAGTGTAGGAGTGAACGGTGAGGATTTAGAGAGATTTGGGAGAGAATGTATCTTGTGTGCTGAGTGGAAGTGATCGTATGGCATTGGGTGGGGATATTGAATGAGGGGGAGGTATGGAGAGCTTTGGAGAATATGGCGAGAGGTAAAGCGCCAGGTATAGATGGGTTACCTTGTGAATTCTATGTGAAGAATTGGAGTGTGTTGAAGGATTTTTTAGTGAACCTGATGAATGTGATGAAAAGTGAGGGGAGGATGGGCGAGTTGCAGCGTACTGCAGTAGTAGTATTGATTCCAAAAGGGGAAGGCCCTACTACAGTGCAGAACTACAGGGCGTTGTCGTTGTTATGTGCTGATTATAAGATATTCGCAAAAATCTTGGGGAACAGGCTGAAGTGCGTGATAGATAGAGTTGTTGCGAGAGGTCAGTAGGGGGTTGCCTGGAAGGACGATGTATGAGGGACATGGAATAATAAAAGATTTTGTGGAAAGTATGGAGGGGGAGAATGAAAGGGGGGGAGGTGTCTTAGCATTGGACTGGCAGGCTGCGTATGATTGCGTAGAACGAAAGGCACTGTGGCATATCTTACGGAGGCAGGGTTTTGGGGAAGAGATGGTACGTTGGATTGAGACTTTGTATAATAGGGTAGGTGTACGTGTGCAGGTGAATGGGAAATTGGGTGAGTGGGTTTCAAAAGGGTAGAGGCATAAGGCAGGGTTGTCCTCTGTCTCAACTGTTATTTGCTTGTATACAGGACCCTTTTTATAGGGCAGTGGGGCGATGTTTAGGGGAGGTACGTGGTGTGGAGAATGGTGGGATGGGAATAATAGGGTATGTGGATGATACAACAATTCTAATGAGCAGGGAGGAAAGTTTACATGAGGTGGAGGATGTAATTGGTGGTTTTGAAGGTGTTACAGGTTTAAAAGTGAATGTGGAGAAATCGAAATTATTGGTCTTAGGGAATTGGGTAGGGAGGGAGCGATGGGACACAGCTGTGCGTTGGTGTGTGGTGGATAGACTAAAGGTGTGTGGGATAATTTATATGGGAAATGCCGGGGAGGCACGGATGCTTAATTCTGGGAGGGCAGTGGATAGGTTGGTGGGTAGGTTAATGTTTGAGACCCTTGCATTTGACGATACATCAACGTGTAATAGTGGTGAATGTGATGTTATATAGTATGGTCTGGCATGTGCAGCAGTATATCCGTTGGCAGGACCGGGCATTAATAGAATGCTAAAAAAGGTTTTTCGATATATATGGGTTCTGGGTGTGATTGGTTGGGTAGAAGTGTTGTTATGCTACCGGTCGACAAAGGTGGATTGGGTTTAATAGATATAAGATTAAGGGTTAAGTGTATATATTTGAAGAGGGGGGTTCTCCGAGTGGAAGGTCGTGTGGGGAAGGGCGTGCAAGCATTATATGAGGAGGCACGCAGGTGGTGGGTAGGATCAGAGAATGAGAGAGTGTGAGGATGTGCTGCGAGCTTTATTGTATGTTAGAAATCCGTCTAGGATACGGGTAGGTGTGCTGGAGCGTGCTGTAGGGGTGAGGGTGATTGCAAATGTTGAGGGCATATACCCAATGTATGCATGGGGAGACATTTGGGTAAGGTTGCGGTTGGTGCGCATCAGACCAAGAGTGAGAGAGGTAATGTTTCGTTTCCTTCATGGAATATTGCGTCTGGTGTGGTGCTTCGGGAGAGAGGGTTGATGGTGGAGGACGTAAAGTAGGGTGTGTGGGGATAGGGAGACAGCTTTTCATGTAGTATATTTTTGTAAAAATTTGGAGTGTATACGGGAGTGGATGGGTGGGATTTTGAGGAGGGTGGGTGGGGGAGGGGTATCGGTATTAAGGGCA